AATGTTCAATCGGGTTGAGATCAAGCGATTTTGACGGCCATGGAGGGACATTGATGTTCTCATTAACAAGGAAATTACCTGTTGCACGTGCTGTGTGGGGCCGAGCGTTGTCACGTTGGAACAGCTCCCTCTGGCGGTCAAGAGTTGGGAGGAGGTGAGGACGCAGAATTTGGTCTTTGTATCGGTTTGCTGTAAGATTGCCCTGGACAACCACTAACTGTGATGTACCCGTGTAGGATATGGCTCCCCACACCATGACACTCCCTCCACCAAATCGGTCCACCTGTCGAACGCAGTTCGGCGCAAAAGGTTCATGTCGACGTCGGTATACACGTTGTCTTCCAACCCGTCGTTGAAGAAGAAAACGTGACTCATCGGTGAACCAAACCGCGTTGCAAGTTCCTGAGATCCCATGCCTGTTCTCTGTTGCACCACCGGACATGTCGTTGACGATGTAGACGTCGCAAGACAGGTCCAACTTTTGGTCGTCTCGCTCGAATTCCCTCTTCCCTCAGACGATTTCTGATGGTTTGGTCGGAAATTCTTCGCATACCAGACTCTTGTCCTGCAGTGTCTGTTGCTGTAGCAATTCGATTCCGAAGGTGATGCAACCGGATGTACCGATCCTGAGCAGGGGTGGTCACTCTTGGTCTTCCACTTCTGGTATGATCTTGAGTCGAATTGGTGCGGGTATATCGATCCTATAGTCGAGATATGGTGCTTTGGTGAACGTTGAAGTGTCTTGCAACGGCAGACTGGGACTCCCCTGCTTCCAAACGTCCAAGGGCGATATTTCGGTCAGCTGCAGTTAATCTTGGCTTTTTTCGATCTCCGTTCACGTCAGACAATTCGTAATGTCTCATGTTTCCAACACTTTGCACGTGCATTCTGCAGAAAACTTTTTCTGAAAGCAATTTCCGTGCATCCTTTGCATTTGTGCTGATAAACGTTTACAAAAAACATTTTGAGATGTGTTTGCTCGCAATGCACAACAAACATGAAATGATTAACAGGAATCAAACATAAAAATTGTCTTTATGACGATTGCTGGGAAAAAAATCTAATTGGAATTCTCAAAACACCTATTCGTTTCTTTTTTTGAAGAGTGTATGTTTAGACCATCCATCAATACACGTTTCCCCTGTCATTGTTGGTTCAAACACACATTGTAATGCATAATCTAAACAACAATCTGTATATGCATCAAAGGGACTGTATAATACAACTACGCCCACTGTAGGGTAATACTCGTGCCTCCGGGCTTACCAAGTCACAAAAGCAATATGCTTGACAGAAACAGAACAACAAATGTCTATTCACCATGCTCAGAGACACCACATCTAAACAAGCAAACCTAAAACCAGTTTAAAAAGCAGCCATTATTAAGAACTTACCAGAAGCTTACGTCACGTTCGGACTACTTATGCCTACAGATTATTTCACGTGTGAAGGTGAAGGTGTTTCTGCTGACTTGACATATTTTCAGACGTGGCTTAATCACGTTGTGTACTGAAAGTCGTCAAGGCGTCTTATCTTCATACTGACTGAACTGTCTGGAGACGTCAGCCATCGAAAGTCCACACAACATTGTCTTACAACTCTCACCACTGAGGTCAGTGACAGCATGTGTTGTATTGTTTGCCGATTTCTTTAACCACACGAATAATAAGTTAACGCATTTCACGTCCTGGTGGCTTGTTTAAGTATATCAATATAAAAAATGAACGCCATAGCTGTAATGTTTGCAATACCAGGACTCAATGTTTCAAATATGTAAACTAGGTGATACCTAATTCATGTCTGCATCGTAATGTCGTTTTTGTTTTGCTGGGAACATTTACATGGAGGCGTGTGGCCTGAAATGTATAGTTATCAGATGCAGTTGTCTGACATTAATGGGCCTGTATTAAAGGGTGCTGTCACATAGATGCAGCCATTGTTTGTGTTTAACATAACATACAAGTACATCATAACATGCAGACTGAAATATGAAGGGATGGTGAAAATGGGAAAATGTTTATATAGACGGGGTAAGTGTTTGTTCGTTGGTTTCTCTGTATAATGTTCTAACGTCAGATGAACTTTTTTGGGAGCTGTAGAGGTCAAAATTGTTTGTACCCTTGAAAGCTTTTATCATTTATCTGATGCAACATGGGTATTATTAGGTAATTCCAAACATCCAGACGTTGCATAAAACATCAGTAATGTGCCTTGTATTCCTACAGCATTTCAATTTTCAAGTAAAATCGTTTTGGACATTGCTCACATATTCACGTACATTGAGTCTTCCATTGGAGAAACGTTTCCACGTAATTGTGTCATTAAAGAACAAGTATTTTGCAAACATGTGGTTGCATGCCTGTTCTAATTCGTTACCAAAATAAGGGAAGTTATGAGATAAAAATATGTTTTCAGATTTGCGGTTGTTATTAAATATTAGAAGCCTGAAAGCGATAGGTCCGGAGGTTCGATCCCCGACCGTGCCATACCATGAGATTGTACTTGTTGTTACCCTGCCTGGTGCTCGGAATTAAGGGGCTAGAACAAGAACTGGTTGCCTCGGAGTCGGTATACTGTGTCTTCGTTGGGTATTCATTTTAAACTGCGACATGGTATCTCTGTGGGCTCGCACTATAAATCGCCATAAGTAGGACCAGTGCAATCAGACACAAACACACGTGCACGCACGTCGCTTTTTAAGTGCAGAAATCTTTGACGCGATGTTAAACCCAATTTCACCTCACCTCATTATAGACTCATTATAGATATGAATTATTCAGAAACAAATGAACAAGAAAATGAAGATTCGTAATCTGCAATTCGCGATAGGCAAGATTGTTGCTGCAGTCTATGGTTATTGACAAGTGAAGTGTGTTACACCAGCTGGTGATAGTATGAGCAACAAGATAAAGACCTTCAACGATATGTCGCTTACGAAAGATAATTTCATTTACGCGTAACTAACTACAACTGGTTGTAAAAAAATAGAACAATTCACTGTGAAATAGAAACAGTCAATGATCTAACACTGTTTCTATTATGTTTTATTTTGTATGTTTAAGTGTTGTTTAACGCCACACCCAGCAATTATGCACGTGCAACAGTTAATCAAGCCATATGACGGCGGATTATAAATAATCGAGTATGAACCAGACAATCCAATGAATGACATCATGAGCATCGATCTCTGCAATAGGAATACGAGCCTGACCTCCCGATCACGTTAGTCGCTTCTTACGACAAGCATAGTCGCCTTTTAGGGCAAGAATGGGTTGGTGAAGACCTATTCTACCCCGGATCTTCAGGGATCGTTTCTATTGTGTAAAGTCCCTTCCCACCAAACGTACTATACTACACACAGGTACAACACGTATGTCCGGCTGATGGGGGTGAGCTGGAGTGCAAAGATGTTAAGATGCTGTAACTGCACGTCCACAAAGCGATGAGTATGTGACTGTGGAAGGTAGGGAGAGATAACGGTCGCCGTAATGTTGGTTAAACAATGTTTAATACAAGTCTATTTACACTGGAGTTTCTTCTCCGTCCACGCTACAATAATAGCGTAGTTCGTGTATTGTGTAGCAGATAGGCCCCTAAGTGAGTAGTCATGAGGACAGATTCATTTCATGTCAGTATAACAGGATAGCATCATAATCGAATCTGTCTGGTACATCGTGCTTGAGTGAGTGAGTGAGTGAGTTGGGTTTAAAGCCGCTTTTAACAGTATTCCAGTTATTTCACGGCGCGCAGCTTAATGTGGGAGGAAAGTCCGAAGTGATATAGGTCTCAGACGTTTACCTCTTCTGTGAAACCCACGAGCACGGGTATGGTACTGACAAACCTAGAAACATAATCGGGGCGAACCGGGATTCGAACCCACAACCATAGGTTTCTGGCGTGTCCAAGGGACGCAACTCTGCACAGCGAATCGCGGCACCTTAGACGACTGGGACAGCCGTACCCCCGGTACATCGTGAATAACACATGTCTTGATATTATAATTATGCCTGTTTGGTAAGTGTGTGAAAATGCTATTTTACACCAAAGTCTGAAATATTTTGGCTTTTTAACAGTGGCCTGTAAATAATCGGACTATGCTACTTAAACCATTGATTGATATAATCAATGATCATACGTTAGGGTACGATTAAAAATGACTGTCACATCAGTATTATGACCACCATGTTTTTCCAGTTCTCGGAACCTTTCGTGGCCCGTGAAGATCCCAACCTAATGGCTTTTAGTAGTGGTCGCCATGACCTCAGTTAGCCTACTCGAGCTGGTGTGTTAGTGTCAATGTATTTCTCTTATCACCATACCGTGTGTGCCAGGCGTACATGTGTGGGGTTGTTGTAACACTCGTTGGGCTCGTGTCGTGAAAACCCTCACTCATTATCAACGTGAGCGAACGAATCTGGTGACAAGTGTTTTTATTTATTTGTCAAAGTCACGAGGCTTTAGATGCAACGGTAACTGTTCCAGTTTCTAATTTTATAACAGATAAGGCATATTTCGTCAGCTGAGTAAACGTGACAGACCGACATGTCATCATCAACGTCGAAACATACCAATTACACCTAAGAAACACGAAAAACCACACATGTCCCTCACATCCCTCCCCTGCCTCCCCTACCCCTAACAATCCGACCACACCCACAGCCACATGTACACACTCCTAAAGAGACGCTCGAAATTTGGGGAAAAAAACCCCCTACCCCTTCTCAAACAACAATTTTTATAACAAAAAATCATACCAGACTGTGACCAAAAATATACAAAACACAAACTGACACGCGCCTGAAAAACCACAAACACCATAACACAACAAATATAATTAAACCATTCCCATCTCCACAAAAAGCAACTAAATAAAAAAAACTGTTTGTCTAATATTTGTAAGCAGCAAAATTGTTGATGATGTGCGTGTTACTTGGAAAGGACATATCTGAAAATAGCTGTGGCATTGCCATGTTTAACAGGTCCAGTGGGACGTTCCCGTTAGCCGGGTCAATAAATGATAACACTGTACTACCCGGAGTTTGTAAGCTGCGAAACGCACCAGCGGAGATATTACGAACACCTGGCACAAACAAAGCTTGGTGGACACGACTGACCAGCTGTGTTTGACCTGTGCAGTCACATGACCCTAATTAGGGTATATTACGTAATGTAACGAATATAAGTGAGCAGGAGCGAGTGGGGACTTTGAACGCTATATATAGTTTTCATACAGGTAAGTGTTGATTTAGAATCATTTATGACCTCTCGGATGAGCATTGGTAGTACTCTAAATGCTGACTCGATTTGTGGCAAGACTGATTTATGTAGCCTGTAGCAATACATGTATTCCATTTCGGACAGACAGACAAAGGAAACAATCCGACAATTTGTTCGAAAGGTTATTTGTTTACGAAGGTGTTATTATGCTGAAGTTACTTATTCGATGGTACTCGTTTCCTTCCCTTTCTCCTGACATTAAGGGGACAACACAAGGACTGGCCGGCTCGGAGTATATGAAGTACACGAATACTGTGTCTGAATGAGGCATCCGTTATAAACTGCGGCATGGTATTTCAGTAGGCTAGTACTTTATAGCCAGCATTAGTGCTCACACACACAGACACACAGACACACACAGACACACACACACACGGACACACACACACACAGACACACAGAGACACACACACACACACACACACACACACACACACACACACACACACACACACACACACACACACATTTATATATGTAAGTATATTAATCTTGATTTCGACGTTAAACACTATTTCACTCGCTTATTTACAAGTATAAGGCCGTGTACAAATGTTTTAAGCTTATATGCTTTTGTCAGCCTACATAAACTGTGCATATTTACAGTTCGAAGGCTAACAAGATAAGTCTTTATAGAGGACCCGTTATGCTTAACGTTATGGGAACACGACTGCAAATTGTAATCTATGCTAACGTATTCGTATGGACAACACTCCGCCTGATCTGATTATACTGATAGTCCTACTGCTTCATACAACTACTGGCGTGTGAATAATGTAGGCTTTTAACGTTCACCCGATATTACCAAACTTGTAATTGTGAAAGTGTTTCCATGGTAAACAATATATATATATATATATATTCTTGTGTGTTACGTAAAGTTAATGAACAATGACATATTTTCATAAACATATATTAGTAACTATCAGTCCTCATACCAGACCGCCTTCGTGGACTAGTGGACTGAGCGGAAGGTCGGTGGTGAGATTCCCGGCCGAGTCATGACAAAATATGTCAACAGAAAATATTTGTTGTGAACCTGCCTGGCGCTTGTGCATTCGTGATACAGACGGAGTCTCGTCGGCTCGCGGAGTCAGTATATTGTTCTTGAGTAGGGTATCCATGTCAAACTGCAGCATGATATCTAATAGGGCTAGCACTAATTCGGAGTATTACAAGCAGCCAAACACGCCCGCACGCACTTACACACACACACGTACACACACACGTACACACACATAAACACGCACGCACGCGCGCGCACGCACGCACACACACACGCACGCACGCACACACACACGCACACACACGTACACACACACACAGACACACGCACGCACGCACGCACGCACACGCGCGCGCACGCGCACACACACACACGCACACACACACGTACACACACACACATGTAACTGTGTCTTCACAAGGGTAACCACATTGTAAATTGTTGTATTGTTAGGTCAATTGTCTGAGAGTTATATTTCTTTATATTTTACATTTTTTATTTTATTTTTTTATAATTTTTTTATTTTTCTCGAGCATTTAAACGGTTTTGCATAGCATTGCATAATTTCTATATTCAAAGAAATAAAGCATGACAGCTTGACCAAAGCCAATTAAAGTAATCTCTATTATACTTAATGACGGAAGTAAACTTTGCTACATAATATTATTCAGTGAGCTCCTTCTGGAAGGGGAATGTTGGTGGATAGTTATGATTTCTAAAGTTGAAAATGATTTGTTTTGACAAAATAATGATAAGGTTTAAAGGATTGTTTTTTTTTTATAAATAACCAAAAGGAACATTTTCTTTGGATATTGTTACCGAGCTTTGCGTTTTGTGCGGTGTCAATATACCCATGTATATCTGCGTCTGCTCATGACTGACTAAACTGGTAATGGTTGCATTGTTAGGTACAATGGTGTGGGGTATTATTGTTGAACCCTCAGCTACACATTTGCTAACCTTCCGGTCGATAAGCGTCTACACAGCATTACGTAATATTGCAATGAACCTTTCGCACTGTGGTGGTCCCTGTCTTTGTCAGCAGGATGTGACCTTCGTCCCTGCTCCCCGATGACATGTAAGTGGGCGTCATTTCAGACCACACTCTCCAACATACGCCAACCTGTCCCACAATGCCTCAGTAGCAACCCCTTAAGTCCCCCAAGCTGCCTTTCCTTTCCGGACATACCCTCCTCGGCAAAACCACTGATTGGCCTGGCGGGCCCGTGTTCGAAATACTCATAATGTCAGGAAGATGGAAATATTAGTTTTGGACATAAATGCAAATCAGACATTTCCGATGGCATTCTCTTGCTTCTCTGAATTAATAACTTTTTCTGTAATCTTATGCCAGTTGAAAGGGATTTATATAACAGTATCCACGACGTACATAGGATTTATAAAAAAAAATGACGGGCAAAGCAATGCATACAGACACACATGGTGGTGAAAAATGAAAATCCGTCGATGATGTACAATATTTTGAGTTTTTGGCCTCCTCTCTCTCTCTCTCTCTCTCTCTCTCTCTCTCTCTCTCTCTCTCTCTTTGTATGTACATACACATGTATGTTGTAACATGCTATGTTTATGTTATAGATATGGACCACTGTTCTGCACAAACTGACCAGTCTCATCATATCATCCATTAACATCGTTTCCCGTACGCAACCTCATGAAAGAATCTCAAGATCGTCTTCCGTGCGTTCTGAAACTGTGCACTTATATCACTCAACAACATAGCACTACTATTGAAGAAGCACGGATGCGTTAATGAGAGATACTGCAATACTGGAGCACATTCGCAAGCAGTCCCAGTACGAAGGGGCACTGATGCTTTATGGTACAGCGCAAACACAAAGGAAATGGCTATCTCAAGAGAGAAAGATGGCGTTAAAGAACCCATGGGTGAACAGGAGGATACAGAGGATCTCCCCATAGACAGGGGATGGGCGTGGTTTGTGTTAGCAGGTGGGTGTCAACTCGTTCAGTGCATTACAATCGTGACACAAACAGACCAGATTATTAAGAATGTTGATCTTACGGAGATTATCTTTTCATTTCTTTGTTAATGCCAAGATTGGCATACGTGTATTGATTTGATGTATGACTGAAGATACTATGAAACTATGTACAGTGGATCTCTATTAACCCTAATATTACATTAAGTGAAACTGTCGCTTTAACACCTAAATCAAGTGCCTGGAGTTATTTCTCTTTGTATAAAAGTGGACGTTCTAACGATGGCCCAGATAGCGGAGTTTCCGGATTAAACAGGATTCACTGTATCACACACAGACACACATACGATATATATATATATATATATATATATATATATATATATATATATATATATATATATATATATATATATATATATATATATATATATATATTACAAATGCTAGCTTGTGTCCATACAGATTTTATCGAGTATATACATGTATATATTTTGTATGTGAGGTTTTCCCGATATGGGGCTTTTCCATTGGACGAGAGAAGTCGGTCATATGACCGCGAAATTGACGTTCGTGTGTGTTTGAAAGACACCATTTGACGTCCATAAGTGTTTGACGTCCCTGTATTCTCCGACGTTCATACAGTGTCATTGGCCCTCGCTCTATGAAGGTTCATACACCAACGAACGCACTCAAAGTGAAAGTCTATTCCTACGCAAAACCCGTTAATCCGGACAGATTTATGCTGTAAGTATCAAATAAAGAATAAAAACAGATGTATTGAGTAATCACGTGAATACATGAGCTTCGGAAATATACATTATATTACCTTTCAGGCTTATGACATCAAATGTGAAATATATAGAACACTTAAAAAGGAACATGTAAGTGCAAAGATTTGTCGATCAACTAACACAAAAGGGAAGCATGGGGTGGGTTGGGTTTGATTGGTCTTAGGTCTGCACGATAATTTGCCCTTCCCCCAACCCAATCCTTGCTCGTAATAAAAGGCCAGTCCCAAAAATTAGAAAACCCCTCGCCCCCCCCCCCCACCCCCCCCCCCCCCCCCCACCCCAACTCCAAGATAGTTTGGATACATTTTGACGACACCCCTCTATCGCTGAGTCATTTTTGCACGACCACCTTAAATCCATACCCCCCCCCCCCCCCCACCCACCGACCCACCCCAACCCCACCCACCCCAACCCTCATGATATAATTATACGGTGCACTATCTTCATTGTTAATGCCAAGACCCTTACCGCGGATGACCCGATACTGTGACGTCACGGAACCATAAAATATTTTGTTGAATTTTTTTTTTTCATAGACATTAGTCATGGACGCTTTCCTATATTATATAAGTGGAATATTGTTGTCTGGTCAAACGGCATCTCTCGTTTACTTACACCGATGCAGGATTTGGGTTATACACGCTGGTGGTGACACAATTATCTGACAATGCCGCGCCCCCGACTCTGCCGCACGTGATACATGTTGCGGTTGGCCGGCTAAGGTTGCAGTGACCCCCAGTCACTGATGAATCACCCCTCCTGTCACATGGACATCCGACGACGTGTGCTATTTCGTATTTGGAACCTGCACTCCAAGTTAAGCCCTAAGACAATGGGATGATTATCCTCCTTTAATGTAACTATAGGTTATATTAATAATAAACCCGTCCACATATCATGAATGTAGCAAGTTACATTCAACACCATGAACACATAAAAAACCCCAATAAAACAAAAGAAATATAATTACCAGTAATAAAATGCATCATTGAATAAATATTTGTCTAATACACTCTTAGTGTGATAGAGTGTTTTTTGTTTTGTATTTTTATGTACAAAACAATACATTGTATAAAATGTATACACGTACCTGTTTGTGTGTGCACCAGCGTTGTGGGACAAAACATAATATGCTCATAACACGCTTATTGTTAGTGTAACGCTGCACTCACCAATACATGTTTGCCTCGGGCGAAATCGTGTAGATGTAACAGCCCTTTGCAATGAGCAATGTCGTCACATACAGTAAATATATAGAGTTTCACAAAATGTGCAAACGTAGAAAAACAGAACTCTTTAACCACCAGGCCACCAAACATGTACTAGTATATCACACAGGCGTGAAATGTCATCACCCCCCACCCCCCAGCCCCACCCCGAAACCCCCAACCTCAAAAAAAAAGAAGAAAAAAAAAAGAAAACCCACAAAAACAACAAAACCAAAACCAAAAGACATTGTATATATTCATCCATTTCCATAAACTTCGCTAAATATGTTTCTCAATCATTGGTTACTTTGCACGCTTTGAATACTTTGAGACTGTTTGTTTATTGCCTAGTAGTGTTGAACAATACTTCTTACTCGGTGCGTTCACTTTTCAAATATTTTACATATTGTATTTAAATAAACAGTAAATATATCGCTTACCTCGCACACCTGTTTCTTTGTCAAAGCCACCGTGTGCATTTGACACTAATGTCAATCAGCTGACTTCGCTGTCACGTGACAACAATGCCAGGAAGCCAGACTACTGCCCAGTCACAGCTGTGCCGTCTAATTACCATCATGCTGATATGGGGCGAGAAAAAGCAAAACGATAGGATTCTATTTCGAAATGTGCGAACATGTAGCATATGAAAAAAGAAACTGTCATGTTTACCTGCGGTCAACCACACCTTTCTCATTAGGGTCATTGATAATCTCAAGATAACCGCTCGAACCGTCAACATGATGCATCGTGTAATCTCAAGGTTGTCTCAATCAATGATTCACTGATTATCACCCATCAATGATTCAGCTGATGGCCATTGATTGTGGATTTAACGCCAGCATTGCGAGTCAGAATGTGATTGTGAAATCATATTTCTATATATCTAATTCTGAAGCATTTAAGGTGTCGTGTCCAAGCCAGCGAAGCAGGATCGTAATCACAATTTTTAAAGGAAAACAGTTTTGGTCAGAATTATGTATTTTCAAAATGACAGTATAATAGAAAGAAATGGCATGTGAACTGCAAAACAGTTTTTGTCAGAATTATGTATTTTCAAAATGACAGTGTAATAAAAAGAAATGGCATGTGAACTGCAAAACAGTTTTGGTCAGAATTATGTATTTTCAAAATGACAGTATAATAAAAAGAAATGGCATGTGAACTGCAAAACAGTTTTGGTCAGAATTATGTATTTTCAAAATGACAGTATAATAAAAAGAAATGGCATGTGAACTGCAAAACAGTTTTGGTCAGAATTATGTATTTTCAAAATGACAGTATAATAAAAAGAAATGGCATGTGAACTGCAAAACAGTTTTGGTCAGAATTATGTATTTTCAAAATGACAGTATAATAAAAAGAAATGGCATGTGAACTGCAAAACAGTTTTGGTCAGAATTATGTATTTTCAAAATGACAGTATAATAAAAAGAAATGGCATGTGAACTGCAAAACAGTTTTGGTCAGAATTATGTATTTTCAAAATGACAGTATAATAAAAAGAAATGGCATGTGAACTGCAAAACAGTTTTGGTCAGAATTATGTATTTTCAAAATGACAGTATAATAAAAAGAAATGGCATGTGAACTGCAAAACAGTTTTGGTCAGAATTATGTATTTTCAAAATGACAGTATAATAAAAAGAAATGGCATGTGAACTGCAAAACAGTTTTGGTCAGAATTATGTATTTTCAAAATGACAGTATAATAAAAAGAAATGGCATGTGAACTGCAAAACAGTTTTGGTCAGAATTATGTATTTTCAAAATGACAGTATAATAAAAAGAAATGGCATGTGAACTGCAAACCAAATAGGGAGAACACGAGTTGACTCATTGATCATTGAACGATCATGACCTAACCATTTCCGAAAACTTTCTTTTGCAATGACGTTGAACGCGTGTAACTGGCCACTCGGTACGTACTATAGGCTTGTATATGTTACAGTCAATGTGTAAAGTCAGTCATTGTGTCACATGTGATTCACAATTCACAAAATGCCTAAGTGTGTCAGTCATTTAAAAAAAAAATGACAGATTTACTAAACTTTATTAAGAATTTCTAAAGGGCTTGAAATCATTACAATAGACTAATTATGATAGGATTAGAAGCCAATAAAAAATATAATATACACTGACTTTCGTTTTCTTTTAAACCCATCATTTTCAGTCACGGGACGATGAAATTCAGCTTCAAAATGTTTGGGATTCGTTATCATGATATAATGAAATAAAAGAAGTTGTACAATAACTGAAAAATGTATTTGTTTTGTGAACTGCCTCAGTCATTTTACACATTGACTGTAAAGGACATACTCCTACTATGATGGTGAAATTGTTTAATTCTATATTCTTTCAGGATCTTTCTTGAACATTGTGCTTATGGTCGGTTACATCAAGTCTCTAAGTATCCTGTTTGTGGAATACCTGCGCCTGTTCGAGGCATCTGTGACGACGACCACCCTCATCATGGGGGTCACGGCCGGGGTCTTCAGTATATCAGGTTGGTGGTTATTGCAAAAGTTCCCCATTCTTTTTGCTTAGCATTTACCGCAACAAACACTAAGGGGTCATAGGTGACCCAGACGTCTAAAACCCCGCAAGTCACTGTCAGAGTTCTCTCTCTTAGATGTTTCCGGATTCGAATCTCAGATTTACTTTGCATTGCTTATGATACTTGGTTTGCCAGGAACATCTTCGTTGGTTTGAACGTATTAAACGCCTAATACCTGCATCACTTTCACTGCATGTCTTTCGTTTACATTTAGCTGACACACGGTGGTATAACTGAAATATTATTCAACCTGTTCATTGATCACTCTTAACATATAAGAAATCGCAAATATAAGTGTTGTATGACGATACTGGAGATATACATGTATATGTACCGTCATAATGCATTTTAATTGTTTACACGCTTCAAAAAAAGAAACGCAAAGGTAGTATGTCGTTCATTGAACCTGACTACACAAAAAATCCGGTATATAAATTGGATATATGTTATTGGACAATGTTGGTGGCCTAATATTCGACAAACGGTGCGTCAAAACGCAACTATTGTCGATTAGCAATGTCTTAAACGGCATTGTGTTCACACTTGTTAAAAAATGTCATGGAGGAAAACAGTAAAGCAAACTGCACGTGCAAGTTATAGTATTAACAACTCCTGGTAGTGGCTAAAAGGCAAGTAAAAAGGACAAAATAAGCCAACAATTTGTCATTCAATTGTCAACATTTTTTAAGTTAAAAAAACCGAGACTCAGCACTGCCGATCGGACCAACGCCATAGGACGTATCCAAAGAGGGGAATCGCAGTCTTCTGTTGCACGCCACTTCAACGTCCACTACAGCACCATTTGACGCCTTTGGGACCTATCCACACAGTTCAGTTCCACTGCGGACCGTCCGAGAACCGGCCGATCAAGAGTTACCAGCCCTGCAAATGATCGCTACATTCAACTGTTCCACCTACGTCATCGCAATGCCACAGGTACGGAGACTGCAGGACGCATCCCTGGTTTGGGGAGGATATCGGACCAGACTGTCAGGAACCATCTTCGCGAAGCTGGAATCCGACCCAGAAGACCAGTTATGGTCCCTGTGTTGCAACAGATCCATCGACAGCGACGCTTGCGTTGGTGACATACCTCACAGCCTTGAAATTTGAGAAACTGGAGACAAGTGTGGTTTAACGATAAATCACGATTTCCTCTTCACCGGCGAGATGGAAAACAACGTGTTTATCGTCGTCGAAATGAGCGTTTTGCCCCACATTGTGTACGTGAATTCGACAATTTCGGTGGCTGTAGTGTCATGGTGTGGGGGCCATATCCTACACCAGGAGATCTGACTTGGTTGTTGTTGAATCAAATTTTTCAACCTCACCTTCTTCCAATCATTGACCGCCAGAGGAAGCTGTTTCAACAGTACAAAGCTCCACCGCACACAGCTCGTGTCATACCTTCATAATGCCAACATCACAGGCTTGCCCTTGCAGTCGAGATCTCCAGATCCTAACCCAAATCGAAAACCTCCGAGATGAAGTCGATCGACGTGTACGTCAACGTCAGAACACGCGGCAGACACTCCCATAGCTGGCCAACGCGTTAGAAGCAGGACAGAATTCGTACACTTATCCAGTCAGTCCCGGGGCGGTCACACGAGATACTAAGTTCAGCGCAACCTTGTGGCCTTAAATGACTTGATAAAGAACAGTTTTCAATGCAATGTACAACGACAACATGTGACCATCGAGCTCCAAAAATTCAAATTTGTATCTATGATAATAAATAAAATATATCGACTTCATAAGGTACAATAAATTTACTAAAAATTTACCTGTGCGTTTCTTTGTTTAAGAGTGTACATGCAGTCATTTTATGTTGAATACACTGACACGTTTCTGTGATAGTCTGGATGTAAAATTAATGATTCAGATGAATCGTAGGGACATTTTATCCTAAATACTCAAATATATCAAATCAACTCGATTGGTCAGCGCTCATCTTGTAAAGTCTGGTCATCTGACTGAGCTGACAGCTTGACTTCATTAACTGTGACACCTCGTTGCCATGGATTCTGTTCTCACACAGGTAAACGGCATAGTGGGCTCAGCGGATTTCAAAAGTGTGAATAACACACACATAACCACTCAAATACACGCACGCACGCACGCACGCACGCACGCACATACACACACACGCGTGCAGGCACGCACGCACACGTACGAAATAAATAGTATAGTGTTTAAGGAAAATTACATTACATGAATTATTGTACCAGCATTGTATTATTATTTTACAGCTTTGTTCAGTATGCACTTTGTGCTTGAGAAACTGGGCATTCGAAAGACGGTGATGCTGGGAGCGGCCATCACTTCAGTGGCTATGCTGGCAGCGGTCTTCGCTCCAAACCTCACGTTTCTCATCTGTGTACACTGTGTTCTGACAGGTATGTGTTACTTAAATCTTTTAAAGGCATTTAGAAGTTGGAAGTACATGAATACACGCCACTTTATTATGGATAACAACTTCTTCTATGCTTTGTGACGACATTTCAGAGTTTCTGATGAAAGAGCAAGAAGTTGTCGTGAAACGTCGTTACAAAGAATAAAAGAAGTTTTTATCCATACAAAAGTGTCACGTCTTTGTGTGCAAATTGTTGTCTAAATGCATGTATTTCCTATAAACCTAGTGGAGACACGGATTCGAATATCACTTAACCACATGTCTTTGGAGGCTTGTTAATGTGGTTAGGCTTGGTGACCCTTTGTTCATTGTATGTCAACGTAACTCAACGGTGTTTAGGTTTCCTCAGATATTTCTGACATAATGCCTCTAAAACGAAGATATTATCAACCGTTAAATGATTGCTGCTAAAACCCACTTGCGCCTCATCAATAATCGCATTTACCTCTCACCACTATTCTTGTTTCTAACACTTGAAAGAGGGATACAACGATTACTTGGGTCCGTCTTTTATCCCCTTTCAAACAGAGGCTTTATCACACCAAGAATCCGCTGATCAGGGATACCTTTTACAAAAACATGCTACAATACACGAGGCATTCTTAAAAAATTCTAACGGTTCTCCATCATCACCCCTGTGCGATTTAGCTGATTTTGATGAAAGAATAGCTTTCCTAATTTCTCTCCGCGCAATAGGATCCGATAGAAATCAGGATAACTACAAATATCGGACGCAAAAACATTTTTTTTCTGAATAAAATTAATAACTTCTTTTTTTATCGTGTATATGTGTCATTTATAGATTTTCGAAAAGCCTTTGATTTGGCAAAGCCTTCTTTATGAATTACATTCAAGGGGTGTGAGTGGTAATCTGTATAATGTACTAAGTAGTATGTATTAAAGCAGACAATTGCAAATCAGCTTCATTCAGTACATCATGTCGAATACGCCAAGGTTGTAGGCTCAGTCCAGTTTTGATTATTTTCTTCATGATTGAATTTACCAATCGTTTATTGGACCTAGGCTTATAGATAGTTCCGTTTCACAGTACATTGATGAAATCTTGTCATTGTTGTTTGCTGATGATATATCGTTAATTGATGATTGTATTATTGGTTTGCAAAGAAAGCTGGATGTTCTTGATATGTTTTGTAATAAATGGGCTTAGATGTTAACATTGCTAAATCTAACATTATTGTTTTCAGAAATGGTGGTTACTTAAAGACAACTGAAAAATGCCAATATTGAGGTTCGCAAATTCAAACTGTAGCACATACATATTTAGCAATTGTCTTCTCGTCCAGATTAATTTGGTCGAAGGCATGTGAGACATTATCTATCTTTTATACTAAGATAGTTCCTATTTTATTGTATGGCTCCGAAATCGGGAGTTTCGAATATAGGCAAGTTATCGAAAAAGGTTTTCAAACATTATTATTGTGTTTCTGATTCAGTTTCAAATATGACTATGCTTGGAAATGCTGGAAGGCGTTATTTGTGCGTAAAATATTTTACACGCTGCATCAAGTATTAGTGTAGGTATGTATGGATCGTAAACGATATCCACGTGCGTATTATGTAATGCTTGAAGTATTTGAAGAAAATGTTAAATTAACTTGGGTATCCAAAATTAGAATGTTGCTGTTTCATACCCCTAGTCCTCCTATGTTTCGATTCCCAAGATTGAGGAAATGTAGACCCTTTTATTCATCAGATTGTACAACGTTGTAAGGAAACAGTTTCAGACTTGGAAAGACAAAGTTGCGTACCCAAGTATTAAAACAACCCTTGAACCTGAAAATATGTATTACATCTTACAGATAGAAAGGATCTTGTCCGAAATTCAATAATATCCCTATCGTCCGTCAATTTATATTAATGCATTTGTTTGTAGAAGGTGCAATTTGCAAGGTGTAGAAGATGGACATCACTGCCTTCTTACTTCTTACTTCTATAAAAATCCAGCGAGAGAATATTTTGACAGTTATTATCTTCGCAAAATGCCAAACATATTGAAGGGCTTAGAAACCTCCCTATCTGGTTCAAATGTCTATAAATAATGTTGCTACGTTCTATTTAAAGTGGTGTTGCTGAATAGTCTCATTCCACTTAGTTCCATGGACCCTGAGGCCGGAAATACTAAATACAATTTGTCATTTTGTCATTTGTAACCCGACATGTGGGATTTTGTACCTGGTATCGACCATATAAATCGACAATACATACAGTAAACTACGTTTATAATGAACACGCTTATAACGAACTGACGGATATAACAAACTTTTTTTAGTCCCTTCCATTTGTTGCACATATGCTGTATATATGCTTATAACGAACTTCGGTTATTACGAACTAAAATTAGTGTTCCCTTTGAGTTCGTTATAACAGTAGTTTACTGTATGCAATATAACGGTTATACGTCATCAATACATCGGTAATACCACATCAATACATCGACAATAAACAAGCAATAAACAGTGCGACCTATGTAAATAATCGAGTCTGTGACAGACAAAACATTGTTACACTTCGTGTCATTCTCGCCGCCGGGTTAACACCCAATCCTCATTGCATGTTTGTTTGTTGTTTAACGTCGCACCCAGTAATATTAAAACTTTTTGACGGCGGTCAATAACTAAGCGAGTTTGGACCGGACAATCCAGTGAATTGACATCATGAGCTTCAATTATGACATGCATCAACCAACTCAGCGGGCCTGACCACCCGATCCCGTTAAAATTAGTCACCTCTCACGACGAGCAAGAAGGGGTTGCTCAAGACCAATTCTAACCCGGATCGTCACGGGTTTAATCCTAACTGTAGTCGGACTTTAACTTCGTTAGGTCATTTCCCATTGGTCCGGAAGTCCAGTAGTGGGAGCTGCTTCTGAGAATGTTTAATTAAGGCAAGTTAATAAATTAACCATTTTTCGTTATTCCGAATATTTCTAAATCCGGGTGATTTTACCAAAACGGAACTGTTGGGGTTGATGGGTTACCTGCGTACATAAAACATATACAGGCTCCCTCCATACATGAGGCTATGTTTTGTTTTCTTTGTTAATGGACCCACATAACAATTTTACAAAAATAAGGTCACTGTAAGCCATAGGGTAATAATCCCTGGACATTTCTTTTTCACGATCAATTCACCCAACCCACATAATGCTCAGACAACCCTCCGAGAAAAAAAACCCTCTTAACATGAAAATAACAGGCAGCCTATTCATTACGTTGTGAATAGTCATCTAGCTAAGACTTAAACGCTTAAGGTAAACGTTCAAAAGCATAGTGTTTAGCCTCTGTCTGAAATACATCATGCAAAGCATGTTTAGGTAGTGTCGATAGTGATGACACCTTTAGTTATTCCGATGCATTTGTATCAATGACATATAGGGAATCCAATAATACTTGTGCCGGATAGTGCTGGGTGTGTCTGTAACAGTAACATTCTGTTCCAGGTATAGGGAATCCAAGGATACTTGTGCCGAATAGTGCTGGGTGTGTTTGTAACAGTGACATTCTGTTCCAGGTATAGGGAATCCAAGGATACTTGTGCCGGATAGTGCTGGGTGTGTTTGTAACAGTGACATTCTGTTCCAGGTATAGGGAATCCAAGGATACTTGTGCCGAATAGTGCAGGGTGTGTTTGTAACAGTGACATTCTGTTCCAGGTGTAGGAATCCAAGGATACTTGTGCCGGATAGTGCTGGGTGTGTTTGTAACAGTGACATTCTGTTCCAGGTATAGGAAATCCAAGGATACTTGTGCCGGATAATGCTGGGTGTGTTTGTTACAGTGACATTCTGTTCCAGGTATAGGGAATCCAAGGATACTTGTGCCGGATAGTGCTGGGTGTGTTTGTAGCAGTGACATTCTGTTCAAGGTATAAGGAATCCAAGGATACTTGTGCCGGAAAGTGCTGGGTGTGATTTTAACAGTGACATTCTGTTCTAGGTATAGGAAATCCAAGGATACTTTAGCCTCTGTCTGAAATACATCATGCAAAGCATGTTTAGGTAGTGTCGATAGTGATTACACCTTTAGTTATTCCGATGCATTTGTATCAATGACATATAGGGAATCCAATAATACTTGTGCCGGATAGTGCTGGGTGTGTTTGTAACAGTGACATTCCATTCCAGGTATAGGAAATCCAAGGATACTTGTGCCGGATAGTGCTGGGTGTGTTTGTAACAGTAACATTCTGTTCCAGGTATAGGAAATCCAAGGATACTTGTGCCGGATAGTGCTGGGTGTGTTTGTAACAGTGACATTCCATTCCAGGTATAGGAAATCCAAGGATACTTGTGCCGGATAGTGCTGGGTTTGATTTTAACAGTGACATTCTGTTCCAGGTATAGAAAATCCAAGGATACTTGTGCCGGATAGTCCAAGGTGTGTTTGTAGCAGTGACATTCTGTTCCAGGTATGGGAAATCCAAGGATATTTGTGCCGGATAGTGCTGGGTGTGTTTGTAACAGTAACATTCTGTTCCAGGTATAGGAAATCCAAGGATACGTGTGCCGGATAGTGCTGGGTGTGTTTGTAACAGTGACTTTCCATTCCAGGTATAGGAAATCCAAGGATACTTGTGCCGGATAGTGCTGGGTTTGATTTTAACAGTGACATTCTGTTCCAGGTATAGGAAATCCAAGGATACTTGTGCCGGATAGTGCTGGGTGTGTTTATAACAGTGACATTCTGTTCCAGGTAAAGGAAAGCCAAGGATACTTGTGCCGGATAGTCCAAGGTGTGTTTGTAGCAGTGACATTCTGTTCCAGGAGTAGGAATCCAAGGATACTTGTGCCGGATAGTGCGAGGTGTGTTTGTAACAGTGACTTGTGCTGGGTGTGTTTGTAACAGTGCCATTCTGTTCCAGGTATAGGAAATCCAAGGATACTTGTGTCGGATAGTGCTGGGGGTATTTATAACAGTGACATTCTGTTCCATATATAGGGAATCCAAGGATACTTGTGCCGGATAGTGCTGGGTGTGTTTGTAACAGTGACATTCCATTCCAGGTATAGGAAATCCAAGGATACTTGTGCCGGATAGTGCTGGGTGTGTTTATAACAGTGACATTCTGTTCCAGGTAAAGGAAATCCAAGGATACTTGTGCCGGAAAGTTCTGGGTGTGATTTTAACAGTGACATTCTGTTCCAGGTATAGGAAATCCAAAGATACTTGTGCCTGATAGTCCAAGGTGTGTTTGTAGCAGTGACATTCTGTTCCAGGTATAGGAAATCCAATGATACCTGTGCCGGATAGTGCTGGGTATGATTGTAGCAGTGACATTCTGTTCCAGGTATAGGAAATCCAAGGATACTTGTGCCGGATAGTGCTGGGTATGTTTGTAACAGTGACATTCTGTTCCGGGTATAGGAAATCCAAGGATTCTTGTGCCGGATAGTGCTTGGTGTGTTAGTAACAGTGACATTCTGTTTCAGGTATAGGGAATTCAATGATCAACGGACCTGGCATAGTCGTTATCGGACGATATTTCAAGAAGCGCCGCGGATTAGCCACTGCTATTTCAATGTCTGGAATAAGCATTGCGTCCGGGGTATTCCCGATGGTTGTAAGACTCCTACTTGATGAGTACGGCATCCGCGGCACCATGCTGATATGTACAGGGCTGACGATGAACATGTTCGTAGGAGCAACTCTATTCAGGCCAATCGAGTCCTTCAAAAAGAAGAAACGTCCTATACTGGACGTTGAGGAAAATGGAAATCCGGACAGCATTAATAAACACCCTTCCACCGATAGACAAAACGGAAATGCCAAATCAGATCTGAAGGTTAAACAAAAAGATAAATTGACCGGGAATGTGGATAAAAGACATAAAGTGTTTGAGGACGGTTTGGAAACTCCACTGTCTTGCTCTGCTGATTCACACAAGGACACCCCACTGTCCCCTTTGGCACGTCCTCGAACAGTTTCTAATGCAAGTCGAACAATTTCGGAATCTGAGAAAAGAATGTTTACGAGTGATCCGGAGTTATTATCGATTTCAATTTTAGACTTAGCTCACGCAGGAAAAGACGAGTTCCGAGCAAAAACATCTTCCTTTGGGGAGGAAAAATCCAAATGTTGTAAAAGTAACATTTTAGACCTGTCCTTGATAAAAATGCCGATGTTTCAACTTTTTGCCATTACTTCTGTTTTTGGGATATGCATTAACCTGACAGTAAACTATATACCTGCTTTCGCCAACGAGAACCACATAAACAAGACTGACTCTGCTCTGTTACTATTGATAATGGGATCTACAGATTTCTTCTGCCGGATAATTCTTGGTGTTTTGGTTGATTTAAAGTTGCTAAAAGTGAACCAAATAATGGCAATCGGTTTGATTCTTTCTGGCACCATGGCCCAGTTCACCTTCTTTTTCACAACGTATCCTCTGATGATCATGTTTTCTATATTCCACGGAATTTTTGGAAGCTCGTACCAAAGCCTTGTGCCAATTCTGATAGTGGATTATATGGGCTTGGAGTACATGGGGAAGACGCTTGGTTTCTCGTCCATGCTTCATGGGATGTCCATTGCGATGACGCATCCAATTCTGGGTGCGTATCAACGTCTGTTTTGTATTATGTGTGCACAGATGTATGTCTCATTGGTAACGTAATGTTATGATTCGTGTTATGTGCAGTAATTGTTAAGAATATTTCAAAATTAATTGTTATCCTGTAACCTTAATAATTTTGGGCACTGATATCTTCGTAAAGGTATCCGTATTGTCTCATATTTTCCAATGATCCTCCAGACAACCAGCGTACTTTAACATCCTCTCGGGACCCAGGTCGTCCCGCGTCACGTCTTGTTTTCACACGTAACCTCTAGTTATTTCTTGTTTTCACATGTCGCCCCGCGTTATCTCTTGTTTTCACATGTAACCTCGCGTTATCTCCTGTTTTACATGAAACCTCGCGTTATCACTTGTTATCACATGTAGGCTCGCGTCATCTCTTGTTTTCAAATATAACCTGGCGTTATCACTTGTTTTACATGAAACCTCGCGTGAGTGAGTGAGTGAATATGGTTTTAAGCTGCTTTTAGCAATATTCCAGCAATAGCACGGCGGGGGACACCAGAAATTGGCTTCACACATTGTACCCATGTCGGGAATCGAACCCGGGTCTTCGGCATGACGAGCGAACGCTTTAACCACTAGGCTACCCGACCGCCCCAAACCTCGCGTGATCTCTTGTTTGCACATGTTGCCTCGCGTGATTTCTTGTGTTTACATGTAGCCTCGCGTTATCGCTTGTTTTAAATGAAACCCCTGCATTATCTCTTGTTTTCACATGTAACCTTACATTATCTCTTGTTTTACATGAAACCTCGCGTTATCTCTTGTTTTCACATGTAGCCGCGCGTTATCTCTTGTTTTACATGAAACCTCGCGTTATCTCTTGTTTCACATGTAACCTAACGTTATCTCTTGTTTTACATGAAACCTCGCGTTATCTCTTGTTTTCACATGTAGCCTCGCGTTATCTCTTGTTTTACATGTAACCTCGCCGCTTCTCTTATTTTCCCAAGTGGCCCCACATTCTGTCTTGTTTTCCTGTGTGCGCCCCACGCCCATGTTTACCAAGGCGATTCCTCGCCCTCCCACGCTCTTCCTTACCGACCGCGGTCTCTCTTGTTCTATTTCCTTTTTATGTTGCCTACTTGTACTTTCAGGCAGCATCAAGGAGGCCAGTGGCACCTACAGCTACTGCTACACCTACCTTGGATGCTCCGCCTATGTAGCAGCCGGCCTCCTGCTAGTCGGAGAACCATTGGTTAGGAGGAAGGTCAAGGCCAAAGAGATAGGAAACGAGGGGGATAAAGAATCAAACGCTCCCTTAAAGGATACCACATAACATATTCCATGTTCATATCCTTGACAATGGTCTACTTTCAATTTCTGACAAAACGAACATTGATTCTAAAGGGTATGTATCTGCAGAGGAATCTTTAGATTTGGGCAGCATTCCAGACTGAAATCACTTGCTTTGAACATTCGAGGTGCAAGTGATAGGCTTTAGATATTGTACTCATGTGGGACATCAAATTCGGATCTTCGGCGTTATGAGCCAAAGGTGAACTCTGTAGTTATTGTACGAAACGTTAACTTTAATTAGCTTACGTTTCGTATTGTTTTCTAGCAATTTACGAAACTTTTATTTCACTCTTACTCTGTATTGTGTGGTATCACCGATATCATTGGTACAATAGTCAGAAGTATCATTGTACCCCGGTACAGAATATTGTAAGATGTATGTCATTATAATTATTGTAAATTTTGTGTAAACATTTATGATTCAAATGTTGTTTGCCGCTGTTACAAGTACTAATGCCGTTGGTTTAGCAGAAAATACTTCATTGCCTGACATTACTGGAAAGGCGCCGTTTTGACATTAGGAAGAAGGAATGAACCTACCGTCCTATGAAACTACCCATGAACTCTATCTTGAAACAGTAAATAACAAGTAGCTATAGGTGAGTGAGTGAGTATTGTTTTACGCCGCTTTTAGCAATATTCCAGCAATATCACGGCGGGAGTAGCTATAGGTAGGTAGGTAGGCAATAAGCAATGGGCTATTGAGAACATGTACTAAACAAACAATCGGAACAATTACTTACACCAAGATATACTGAATTCGAATTCAAACGATTTGGAATTTATGTTTATGGGATAGAACATGTCATTGATCCATTCAAACTGTATGTCAGAATTTTCATCCAAGGGACGGCACAATGGTACATGTACATGGCTCGTCGCTCTGATGTTGTTCCAACTTCTTTGGTCACAGTTAAAACTGTCGTGATATGGTTTCGCACTTATTTAGCTGAATCCCGATGCCCGTCCGCGTTTCCTACAGTCCAGGTTAGAGCGAGACTTAAGGAACAAATTTCCAAAAATACGCCAAACAAGATACTTTTTTCTGCATGGAGGTCCGTAATTGTTCCTTTAGTACCTTCATGTTGTTTCACGTTGGGTATCTCCACACAGTCGTTATTTTAAATTTCAACAAATTATAGGACCAAACCGGTACTATATCCTGTGTGGTATTAATATTAATGCTTCTTTCTCGATCGTTAACCCATGGCAAGGTGGATGTCAAGTACACTACTGTTCACAACTAACCTGCTTATCGAAGAACCTGTACGTTTGCAGAATGAACACTTGTTTGCGGAATTACTCTGGGACGTTTGCGGAATTATCGCGGTATATTTGCGGAATTATAGCGGTACGGTTTATATATTTCTGCATTCCGCAGACTGTTACGCAGTGTCTCATTTTGGATAGACGTCAGTACACTTTAAATGTTTTGTTTAATAAAGTTTGTTCTTGAACTGATGTGTGACATTTAAATAAACAGACGCCAAAGTACTGAATATAGTTCAGAACAAATTGTACAGTGTACTGTTATATTTGCATGTTATTGTCATATGATTAAGAAATGTTTATTAAACTTCAAAATTAGGTTTGTCCGCCATGTTATTGTGTTTACTGCTAAAATATGTCCTCGATACCTACGTTTGTTTTGTTTGTTGTTTAACGCCGCACTCAGCAATATTCCAGCTATAGGACGGCGGTCTGTAAATAATCGAGTCTGGACCAGACAGTCCAGTGATTGACATCATGACTACATACGTGTGAATATGTACGACATTCACGTGGGCTGAATATTGTAAACAGAAAAAACTGGAATTTTAGAACTTCCCTGTTACACTTCCCTGTTACACTTAGCCTAGTGGTTAAAGCGTTCGCTCGTCACGCCGAAGACCCGGGTTCGATTCCCGACATGGGTACAATGTGTGAAGCCCATTTCTGGTGTCCCCGCCGTGATATTGCTGGAATATTGCTAAAACCATACTCACTCACTCACTCACTCACTCACTAGTAAAATATTTGTTCAAATTGTGAAGGGGCCTATCGTCAGGCATTTTAAGTCTTTTGGAAAAAAAACAGCTTACTAGCAAGGAGTCAGCACCAAGCAACGGGAGATACAAGCTGTGGTACAAACTGTACAAGCAGGATTACACTTGTACAGAGCAGTGCCACGGAAACCATTGCCCCGAAATTGCGAAAGACATGTGGCTGAACGTTCTCAGCCTAGCTACGAAGGATGTATAGCACACCCATAACAGCTTGCAGGCATTTTCCCCATGCTTACACAAAATACACAACCAGGCAGCATATTACTACAGGCATCAAAGTGACTAGGTATTCTCTGTTGATGAAAATGAACAAAATTGGCTAACGTCGCTGTCATCAAGTAACTCAGCTCACTGAACCCAACAGTCATCCACGCGGCTGATTCCTTTGTATCTGTGCAGAAATGGGTAGCGGGGCTCAAGAAAGGAACAGAGAGCCTCGGAGACGATCCTCGGATCTTTCAGCATGCTCAGTTCCAAAGCTAGTGCCCCCTGATCACAAACGCTCCAGGTGAGAATTTATGAAATGTATTTGTAGTGATTGTCAGTGGCAGCCAATGATTTAACCGATGTTACAATGCCTAGTTTCGGGACAGGGCTAGTATATGAGAGCAATACGAGGCCAACTCGAGGCCTTTTACAACCTGACATGCGTCTTATCTAGATATGCCAAGTGCGGATTGGGTACCTCGTGGTAATCACAGAAAACCAGCCGGCTTCCAACTCTGCTCTGGATTCAAGAAAGGTGACCCTAGGTCCTCCCTCGTTACTTTACACAGGATTGCTGTGGAATCATGATGGTCATATGACTCGCAAGTGTCGCTTCTGAAGAACTAAATGGAACGGTCTTTTTGTGTTATCACTCGTATGGTTATATCATTGGTTGTAACACAAGATTCACATCGAATCGGGTTATTCCACGCGTTCTAATGAATTAAATCATGATGTTTTGTCGGAAAAGAAGAATATATCGAATACCTTGTCAAACAGCAAACACAATGAATTGGAAGTCAACAATGAGGATATGACGTCATAACTATATGACTTCCCTACACGTCCAAGTTACGTCAACAGTGACATGTCCACGACGGTATTTGTATGCTGTGGACCCTCATGCTATAGAGTGTGTGAAATCAGGGTCACCAGCGCCATCCATATGGCTTTATAAAAACGAACCCATTTTGAAGCAAAAGTAAAATGGCGATCGTAATTATATTTGTATCATAATTATTTATGATTAGCCTTTGTAAAGAAACTGTGTCTTCTACTAAGAAATGAGTGTGTTGTAGCGGTGATGTAGCCTCGTGGTAAAAGCGTTCGCTCGTCACGCCATAGGCCCGGATTCGAGTGTGGAGCCTATTTCTTGTGTCCCCGGTCGTCATATTGCTGCAATAAAGCGGCGTAAAACCATACTCATTTACTGTGATTAACTGTTACCCAAATGGCGTAGATCGATGCTCATGATATCAATCACTAGATTGTCCAGACTCGATTATTGACAGATCGCCGTCATATTTCTAGAATATTGCTGAGTGCGGAGTTAAACAACAAACAAACAACATTTAACTGTTGTGATGTAACGGAAACGGGTTTCCTGTTGATAAGCTTCGTCAAGAAGCTAAGAGGGCGTCAAAAATGACGCTTCTATTCCGCTTTGACTACCGTGACGTAATTACATTACGTTATCACTGGTTTTACAATGTCCACAATGACATCGGAATGACAATAACATGTGTGTAGTGCCAAGGCATTGTTACACGGATTTCTATGAAACAAATCGTATTTAACAATATGATAGCATATTGGTATGACAAAGGACGAAACATAATTTATAATACACACCAATAATGTACCTACCCTATTTCACTGCAAGGGTTACCGTTATCCTTAACCGGAAACTTTATCCATACGGAGACGGGAATTGATGCTGACGTTCGACTACCAGACAACGAATTTCGTGTATCTTACAAATCTCATGATAACGAGATGGACAAAGAACCTTTATCACCGAATTAGTGAACGAGTCAATACACGATGCCACTTTCTGGCTGCATTATATTCAATCCACGATATGCAAAATAATCCCTCATTGTCCCGGTGATTCTCACGGCTGATGTGTCCATCAAATGAAAAGCGTAATGTTTCCTAAACATATCCGTTAACGTCCATGCATAATGTATGCCCGTTACAACAATACCAGCATGTAAAATGCAATGGCTGTTTTCTCTGTTCGTACGTGATAGGTGATCCTGTCATCCATGCTGCGACACTGACGGTGAAGGCCGCGTGAAATTACACATGCATCATTACAGAGTTCATGGTCGATAACGACAATACGCCTGGCGAAGGTCTTCATAGAGGTCAACTCCATGGCGTTAGTGGGCATGTGTGAGGCATATTCTCGGACAGAACATTGATAGGGGTACTGTCATTTATTGATTGGCTTGTTGCCATAGGCACTATCCCGGAAACCCACGGTATGGTAATTAATCGCATTTCAGAGAGAGCTTTCACTTGTAGTGTTATACACGAGGATTGATATTAATGTTTAAATGTAAATCGTCCATTTCGTTCGTTTAAAGCAAATTGTGCAAACGTATTTTTTTATCTTCTGTCTGTTTTACGCAATGATCCACCTTTTGATTAGAACAGAATTTGGTAGTCAATATAGTATTATGTTAGTATTCTAGTGGTTAAAGCGTTCGCTCGCCACTCGAAAGGCCCGGATTCGATTCCCCGCATGGAAACAAAGAAAGCGTGAAGCCGATTTCTTGTGTCCCCCGTCGTGATAGTGCTGGAATAAAGCGGCGTAAAACTATACTCACTCACTGATAATTAGCTGTTGTCATCGTATCCAAATGGCGTAGATCGATGACATCAGGATATTGTTTACAAATTGTATTTAATTATTATTGTTACATGCATATCAATATATATATATATATATATATATATATACATATATCAATATATATATATATATATATATATATATATATATATATATCCCTTCACATCAGCAGTGTGTATATTTTTTGCACAGTGTTTATCTTAATGTCAAGCTCCAATTGTAAATTGTTCATGTCATTTACGTAATATCACGTTTAACTGTAAATAGGGAGAAGACGGTAACAACTGTTCTCAAATCCCGTTGTCGTTATGGACACTATAATATATTTTAAACTGAAAGCGAAGAACGAATAATAAATTTATTTTGAAAAATTTCCTGGAACAATGGAAAACAAGGACAAATTATTTTCCCCATTATCATTTGGCCCCCATTATTCTCACGGCAGTAATACCGCAATCCGACTTAAGAGATATTTATGCAGGAATCCACTGTTGTATTGTTTGACGATGACAACTAAATCGATGGCATGCTGCTGGGTCTCCTGTAGCGGGTTTGTCAGCCTATACCCGTGCTCTCCAAAGTGATAAACGTCTAAGACCCGCATCGCTTCGAGCATTCCTCCAACATCAAGTTGACAAGCGATGATATAACTAGAATACTGTTAGAAGCGGCGTTAATCCAACTCACTCAATCGTGTAGCAGCTAAACAGCAAAAACATGTATATGTCTTCAACACTGTGAATGTGTCTTTTTACTGTATTCCATTGCCAAACTATATATGGGTTATGGGAAATGTTATGTCATTGTACGCTATCCGTATGCTTGTTATTCATCCGTAGAGTGATCGTTGGTTTGTGTAACGTTATGCACAGAAACACAATACAATACCTAACGGCAATCCTTCAATCAGTAATGAACATGTATGTACGTATGTGTCAGTGTGTCATATGCCCACAATTATGTGTCATCGGCCGGATATTAAATTAACTGTTCAGTTCCACGTTTATATTTTTACTGTACATGATATGTGATACTTAGGGACTGGTCATTTACTATAGGGGAGGGGTGTGTGGGGATGAGGCTGCGAATTTGGTCTTTGGACTGTGTCATGTTTTGCCGACACCCACCATTTTATATAACATTTTTTATGTCCCCCCACCCCCACCCCAAACCCCAATACATATAAAAAAAATCATGCCCCCTTCCCTTTAATAAACGAATAGTCGCTAAGTAATGTAGAACGTTTAAAAAATCAATAATTGAAAATTACCACTGTTTTATTTTTTCATGCCCTCCTCCAAGAATTATGAATATGGATTCTACTTCCTGTTACGGCCAAGTGACACTATTCATCACAGCGTATCGTACACAAGGCATAATCAATTAAAGGCCCGTATAATGCAATCTATATTCATTCCTCATATATGATATTTTAATATTTATTAACACTGAGAATTTAGAAATTGATAATCGGATCACGTTACACATGACATCGGCAGTATGTGTATAGGGCTCAATGTCAAACATGATAATGATAGATGTTTCAACATGTCGTTTTATAGGTACATTATATTATGTATTATATTAATAAGCAAATAGATACTGTTGATATCAGGGCGACATTTTGCTCCAATCCTTGTGTACACCGTTGTCCCATTTGTCACATCGTAAGAGTACATACTGAAGCAACCTCGAATATC